TAGAAAAAAGCCCCTGGGAAGGAGGCCTGCTTTTCTTCCTTTTTGCTGTAGTTTTCAGGGCAAACCTTAGCTGTGGCTTGTGTGGTTAGTCACTCTAGGATTGAGATTTTGGTATTATTGCTGCTGATGCAATATGCTGTGAGGATTTCCACAGTGCATTGCGTTGAGCAAGCAGAGGCTGCACAGAGGCAGGGCCTCCTGGAGCCAGAACTGAGGGCCAGCTGGACGCAAGAAGAGGCAAACCTGTGCAGGGAGATGACCACATTGTTGCCCAACACACCTGGAATGTGTCCCAAGGTAGGAGCCTTTGGACTTGCAAGAGGCATTTATCTGAGGACAGATCATAACACTTGGCTGGTTCAGAATCAAAAGCTGACAGACACGCCTCACAGCAGAGGAGAATGTATTCCTGCTACCATCGAGTGGCATGGCTCTCCAGGGCACGCAGAGAACCTACTGGCAGCTGTGCCCCAACCTCACTCCACCTGGGGGCTGCTGGTTTGTTTGGTGGGTTAGAGCAGGGTGCAGACCTGGGCCAGCCCTGTTGTCCAGGCTCTGTGGTGACACCACCCCCACCTGGAACCCAGGCCCCCTATATGGGCACCTCTGCCCCAAGGAGGGGGTTGGGTTATAGTAGGTATGCAGAAGCGGCCACCCCATCTACCCCCCGGTAGAGAAAAACTGCAGCTTCATTGATTTCCTGGGACAGACAAGGATGAACCCGAGTCACAGGCAACTCCCAGAGCTTCATTCCTTTGGGGAGACATGGTGCCCAATGCACAGGTGCAAGTTTACTGCAAAGTTATGAAGCTTACGTCTCAGGGCTCTCACTTGAACAGGTCCCCTTCCAAAACTCTAGACCTGATTTATGTATTCACCATTTTGCAATCTTTTTCTTAAGGAGGGTCCCCTAAATTATATACTCTTCAGGCCTCACAAAATTAGACCCACCTCTATCAATGCTCCTTGACTCTACAAAACCTTGAGCAGACTTTGGCAGCCTCAGGGGTCAGGGTTCTCAGGCCTCCTTCCCATATCTTGGGCCTGGACCTCCGCCTGGCAGCCTTGGGGGTGGGATGGCAGAGGGCTCCAGCTCACAGTGGACACTGTCCTTGCTGCAGCCCAGCAGAGGTGCGCTGGAGCTGCTGGGCTCAGATGGGTGGAAGGAGAATGTCAGCTAAAGACAGTTCAAAGTGTCACCCTGGGAAATAGGAGCCAACAAGTGTAAAGGCACCAGATCAAATAACACATCTAATTGTGTCCATGTGGCCCACTGGTGGGGCATTTGGTGATGACCCATGGTTGACCGCTGGCTTAAAGTGGATGCTGTGAAATAAGATACCACTGAATTGTGCGCTTCAAAGGGTGAATTTTATGGTATGTGAATTCTATCTCATTTTACAAAAGGACACAGAGCTCAGTTGCTGTGGCACTTGCCACATGTGTTGGAGCCAGGCAGGAGGGCCGGTGAGGGCACTGCTTGGTGCTGGGTTTCTGGACTGCCCCCAGAGGGGTCACTCACACAGCAAGGGCTGCTTAGGGACTACTGCATCTGGCCAGGTCGTACTAGGAGATGAGAGAGTGGCACTGCAAACAAATGCCCTGTCCAGTTGGGGTCCTTGGGGGCAGTGAAGTGGCTTTGGCCATCTCTGGGTGACCAGCCTCCACTTTGCTGTCCCTGTCTTGGTGCAATTTTGCCACGCTCTCTGAGCCTGGCACATGCTCTAGTTAGGGGAAGAGTTGACAATTACCCAGGAGGTGAGAGGAGGGAGGCTGGGCTACCACTCCCACCCTCCTGCCCTGGAGCACCTAGCTGCCCTCTAAGCCACACCCCCAGCCTGTGGGAGAAGGCATGGGTGGGGGCAGGGCAGGCAGGTTGGGGCTGCCACCTCGAAGAGGAATTTGGCCTCTGAAGGGCGGTGCAGAGCCACCCAGCCTGTGGCCCAGGTCCCACCCGACTCCACCACTGCCTGCAGCTCTACCACTTCCAGAGCTTGGTCAGGCTGCATTTCAAAGTGAATGGGAGAGCCCACTTAACCCCTTCTCTGAGAAGAGATAGCTTCTCACACCCATTGGTGACCATGTGGCTAAAGAGCCCCAGTGCCCTGCAGGGGCACCAGCCAGAAGACATTGGTGCCCCTCATGCCTTTCTCTGGGACACATGGTCAGGCACGCATGCACACACAAATATACATGCATGTGCTTGTGCTGGGCACATTAGGATCAATTTCTTTGTCCCCCCTGGTCTGTGCCAAGTAAATATTACAGTGACTCTTGAAAGACTACATGGCTAAGACTCCAGTCCAGCGCTTGGCAGGCGGAAGCTGCCCTTGGCATTGATGCTGCCCAGGTGGCAGGAAGCAGGCTGGAGGGCTGGATGGGGGTATGGCCATGGGGAGGGTTTGTCTCCTCTGAACTGTGCTGTGTGGGGCCCATTATCATCTGGAAAGTTGCTACAGAAGTCTTTGGATGTTCCCAATTCTTCCATCTGCTTGACTCCATTCTTGTGGGCAGACAAGCTAGCTCAGGAATCCCAGCTTGGTTACTCATCAGCTTGGTTACTGAGTTCCCACACCTGCCCTAAAGACATTTCACTCACAGCCATGGAGGGTAACTGTCCCTGTTGCATGCCCCATAGCCTATCTGGCTGCGTGCTGTCTCGTGGTCAGCTTTCTGACTGCCAGTCTGTGTCCTGATTGGACACCTCAGGGTGCCGACACACCTGTGCAAGAAGAACATGCAAGATTGAGTGGTTTTCTCTATTTCTGAATTGGAGCAATATGCTTTCCTGAGCATTGGGAAAAAGTGGGATGTTACAGTACAGGGGGAGGTGGTGCCCAGGAGCGTGCCGCATGCTCATGCATCCCCTGTGCATGTGCAGCCCGAGCGCATGATAAGAGTGGGGAAGGATAAAACCACCTGTGGACACCCATCCTCACTGTGTAGCAACCACAGCCAGTTAGGACAAAGCTACCTGGAGAGACTGCCATCTGCCAGACCATCCCCGCCCTCCCAGCCTTCAAGAAATGTTCTCTGTAAAAGTTGACAAAAAGCCAACCGTGTCCTTGTTACAACTCTCTCCTTAATATAGTCTCACAAAATTCCTAGGACTTGTCTTGAGACCTTGAAGAGACTGGGCTATAACATGGGTGGCCTCTCAAATCCTCCCCCTTTCCCTCAGTGCAAAGTCTCTCACCTATGCAGACACCACTTTTAATAATTTTTTTAATTAAAATACTGTTATACCCAGTGGAATGCAGCAGCAATCCTGGTACAGGGTGGCATAACAAAACAGCCATGTTTACATTTTAAATATTTACGATAACTTAAACACACAGACACACATCATGGTCTTTGGCAGAAAATGTTCACAGCACAAAAAATACTTTAAAAGAAACACCAAATATTAATCCAAAATATATTAAGTTGTTGTTTTTTTTTTTTCTTTCACATATTTTTTGCCTTTTTTTCTCTTCTTTCTTTTTGCTTTGTAAACAATGCACATGAACCAAATGTATTTTTTTTAGCTTTAAACTGGGGTAAGGGAACTT